TAAAGGTCATGTTTACGAATCTAGCACCATAATCCAGTCTGAGGTCCTCCCAAGCTGCTTGGAGGAAGGGAAGAGGTGAGGATGTTGGGAAAGTAAGCACAGTTCTTAACTTGTGGCTCCATTTGTGCTCGAAGCAAAGGCTGAGACTGGACAGAAGACAGAAGCTTTGGTTCAGGTGTAAAGGAGGCCCTGGAGAAGAGGAGAGTCAGGATTTCCTGGAGCCTGTGCTGGAGTTGGCCTCATGGATTAGGGGGTTTCTTCTTGGCATCCATGTCCTTTTTAATTTCTTCAAGTTTTTTAGCCAGGTTTGGCATCTTTAAAGAAAAAAGACATTATTATAATTTTGCATCTAACTAACCAATATGCTTTGACTTCTCTTCCTCCAAAGATAAGTGGTTGTTGTACAAGTTTTATTTTCCTCTGAAAGTGACCTGTTAAATAGTGGTGTCTTTAACCTGCGGACTGCAATAGAAGGATTTCAGAAGATGTCAGGTAAAGTATGCTCCCTCCCTGGAAGCCAGACCCTGGCATTGACTTTTATAGATGCACTTAGCCCCTCAATCCAGAACCAAGTAAAAGTTGTACATACAAAGAATAAATGTGATATAGTTGGATACAGCACCATATGACTTAAATGAAGATTGACAGAGGGAATTCCCTTTGTCACACTAAAAGCTTCACTACAGACACAGAAGGAAGAACCAAGATGGTGGCATAGGTTAACGCCGGAGTTTGCCGCCTCGAACAACCATTTCAAAAGTGAAACTAAAAGACGGAAGGGACATCATCCAGAACCACAGGAACGGTGGCTGAGTGGAAGTCCTACAACTAGGAGGAAAGAGTAACGCATACGGACACTCAGAGGAGGCGCAGTGCTGAAGGCAAATTCTGAGGTGCGGAGTGCGCGGTTGGCGTTTTCAATCGGGAGGGAGTCGCAGACTCTGAGCTCCAGATCCGGGAGAGGCTTTAGGGGCACAGACTCAAACGGGAGAAGCAGGACTGTCTGGT